CATGAAGTGTATGTACTTCTTCAATGAGTTACTGCTCTTTGGAGTTGTGAACACTCTTCTAACACTCTATCTACAGTTTACAGCACCCTCAGAGTCACTGATTCAGTAGGATCCTTTCCAAGTTGATATGAACTGTGTGAACAATACTTGAGTAAAGCAGGCAGAGCAGGAAAACCTGCAGAGGTGCCTGCAACTCCTCTCTCTCGTGACAAGCTCTTATTTTTCCACTCTTGTTCTACTTCCCAGTGTCATTCTTCTTCTTTCCTAACCGGGACCTTATGCTATGGGGATCCTAAGCTATGACAATATATCCTTTCTGGTAGTTTTACTTCTGCTGCAAATTTCCTTCCAGCCTATGACTTTAGGTAAACAACTAGTCCTCTGAGAACACGTAAGGAGAAAATATATTCACTCTTTCTAATAAATGTGTTAGGTTTCAAAGAAAAGTGGTTCAGATTAAGGGCTTTCCACTGAGCTACACCCTCATTCTTATAGTTACATGCATGGCTATGTTATAAAATATATAATAAGATATTATATAAAGAAACTGTATGTGTGTGGTCAGTACTGATTGCTTTGCAATACATTTCCTGGATAAATGTTCAATATTCAAATTTAGGTTTTCTTTCAGGTAGAAAATTTCTTCAAATATTTATACACTGGTTGTCTTGGTTTTAGTCTTCAAAGTTCAAAATACATATATGTTAGATCTTCTTTGCTTCTCTACCATTTCAACCTTTCTTCTAATGACCTTTATCTCCCTTTGTCTCACAGTCATTTTCTATAATATATTCATTTTCATAGTTCATTGCTTTTGTTTATGTCCTTTATGAAATTTTTATTTGAATCTCTTTCCTTCTGTACATTTCATAAATTGTTTTTTATTTTTGAGATTCTTGATTGTTCAATTTAAAATGATCATTCCTCAAATCATATTCTCACCTCATTTTCTCTTGATTCATTTCTGTCAATTTAAAAATTTTCTGAGACTACATTTGAATAACATATATCTACATAATTCCAAACATTTAGTTTTTTAATTTAATTTTTTATGAAGTGCTGTGTAACAATTTAATGTTTCATTGTTTTGAATTTGATTTTTAGAGGAAGGGCTTTTGTTAAATAAAAGTTTTTGATTCTCATTTTTCCATATTTTCTTATAATAGCTTTCCATACAATAAGTCTGAGTCTTTCAGTTCCCAGAAAGTATTTCTAGTCAAGTGCACTATCTCTCTCTCTCATCCATGAATATTATGAAGTACATATTCCATAGTGATTCAGGATTTTTTAGTTCTGGTGTTGAAAAAGAGAAAGGTTAACATATATTATGCCTTTCTTTCCTTCTACTGGGATCTTTAGTACTTCCCAATTTCTGGAATATCTCTAATATCATATATCCAATACATAGTCTAGCCTTAAAAATGAGGATATATGTAGAGTTTTCAATTATAATTCCATTCAATTTTAAGATCTTTCTTTTCAACTGTGCTGTAAATTGTTATTCTCAGATTTGTATTCAGTATCTTAGCAGTTAGTACCACGTGTTCATTCTTGGTCCAATTTTCCTCTATGGATTACATTTTGCTTTTTAACATGTATTTCTTTTGTTGTTGTTGTTGTTTGTTTGTTTGTTTTGAGATGGAGTCTCACTATGTAGAGACTGACCTGGAACTATGTTCCAGCCCAGGCTAGCCTCAAATTCATAGTGATCCTCCTGCCTCAGCCTCCTGAGTGCTGGGATTACAGGTGTGCACCACCATGCCCCGCTTTAACATATATTTCTTTATGGAGTATTTCAATTACCTCTGTCCTTCACTCTTTTAGACTCATAAATTTATGACAATGATAAAGATTCAGCAAACAGCTCTGTTGAAATTTGGTGAATATATAAGGGAAATTTAAATGTATATTATTTTGTTCATCTCAGAAAGAATAATTTAAATCTGACATTATACAAAGTTTTTTCTTGTGTTTCATTATGTTCTTAATGTTGGCAAAGTTTCAGTGCAATGATATTAATTAACTCATCTGTCAGTATCATGGGGCCAACTTAAAACTAAATTATAAGTTTAAAAAAATTAATATATATATTAGATCAGCAAATTATAGATTAAAATTACAATCAAATTATCTGTAAACTTTTAAATCAAATTCTTTATTTAACCCCACTGTATTATAGTTTTGTTTTTTCATACAGACATGAGCATCTATCTATGTTATATATGTCTATGTGTCTATATTTCTATATGAGAGAAAATAGGGTTACAGAGAGACAGAAAGAGACCATGAGGTTGCTCAGAATCTTTGTCTACAGAAACAGAGGCATAAATCAAGTAAATTATTCTATGCATGTAACGAAATGAAAGGCCTTTTAAAAGTTATAACTTACAGCTGGAAAAGATGACAAGAACCTAAGTGAGAGAAAATAGAAAATGGAAAGAAAGCAGGGGGAAAAGGAACCCTCCTATGTTGTGGTAGGAATGTAAACTAGTACAACTGCTATATGGAGTTTCCTGTAAAGATAAATATATGAATATTATTTGACCCAGCTATACCATTCTTGGGCATATTTTTGAAAGACTAAAGAAATGCATACTCTAATGATACGTGCATATCCATGTTTACAGAAGCATAATTCACAATACCTATAATACAGAAACAACCCAGATGCCAGTCAACAGTTGAATAGATAAAGAAAATGTGGAATACATACAGAAGAGTATTACTCAGTCATACAAAAGAATTAAATCAGAAAAATGGGTAGAACTAGAAATTATCATGCTAAATGAAATTAGCCAAATTCAACAGGTTAAATATTGCTTACTTTCTCTTACATGAGAATCCTAAAAAAGTCAAAAGCTAATAAGTAAAAGTGTAAAGGACAGAAGACAGGAAATGGGGAGGTTAATTTCTGATGACAGAAAAGACAATAAGCAGGAAGTGGGGAGGAAAGGAAGAGAGGGTTAATGGAATCGACACTGATTAAAATATATTTAAACCATATACCGGCTTCCCCAAATCAACCCCATCATGATGTAATATGGACATGCAGTGATAAAAAGTAGGAACCGACATCTAAAGGACAGTCTTTATAAAATTTTATGAATAATATATTATAAATTTAATTTTCTTACTTCCTGATGAAACCTGCAGTAAAATATTCCCTGATCTATAATATCAATATAGGATGGATATTTTTCTAAAGAATAATACTGAGTTCTGTCAGAAAGAGTAACTTTGATATAAAACAAACAAAGGAGAAACATGAAGAAGAATGTAGACATATATATTATACTGTAAAATTTAGGTCGGACTACTTGTTCCCTTTCGTTAAATATTCTAGGTTTCATGAAATGCTATTTTTAAAATTGCAGCATATGATTAGTTTTGCATTCCAATTATTCTACTATTTTGAATAATTTTGAACTCATGTACAAATAACTCAATTATTCCATTTTAAATAATTTTAAAATTGTATAAAAGTTTGCTTCAGATACTTTCTTTGGATAATATATTCCCTGAAGTGAAATACAGACACGGAAACAGATGAACATCTAGTTTATAAAGAGTTTTAGTTTATACATGTTACAAAATGAAGGCTCAAGCTAGTTGATGCTTTAATTATCATGATAAGTACCTTACCTATTTTAATAATTTAGGCCACTTCTATAAATTTGAAAGTTATAGTTTTAATATTCTTAGGTTAAATATTTTCAAGTACTTAATTATTCATATTTTTCACGGATAAAATAGTGAATTATGTACTTATACATTTTATTATTTATATCCTAGGATTTTAATTTTTAACAGTCTATTCATTACATAAATGTATAATGAATACATATAAATTAAATAATGAATATACATTATATAAATAACATCACATATTTTATTATTCTTTATTATAATCATTTAGCAAGTTTTCTGTTTGTATTTTGATATTGTGTAGGTCATTCTATTGTTCTATAACACTCGTTTTTAAAGTTCAATTTAATGATTCTTTATGAGCTCTTTCTTTGTGTGTAGTGCTTAGAAAGTTTTTCTGAATCTTAAGATCAATGAAAAACTTATGTACATTTTCTCAATTATGACGTTAAAAGTAAATTTATCTCATTACTTCATCTGAAAATTATTTTTGAATTTAATACATATGTGTCAATATAAGTGGTTTCCCAAAGGCAATATGTCTGCTTCAAGTTATTTTTTTTTCCCTTTGGCTTTTTAACAATATCAAGACTAAATTGTAGTATTGTACTGTACCTGTTAGTAACCGGTAGGCAAGCATTATGCATTTCACTGCTATTTGATTAACTCTCTGAAATGACATTTTAAAGATAAAACAAGCATATTTCTTCTGGGATTTGCACACAATGTATGATTACTTCATGACTATCATTCAGTCATTGTACTTTTACATATATCTAGGAGCTGTCTCTGGAGCACATGACACCACTTACCTTTGAAAAGGCTATAAATCACTGTAACTAAAATTATGTGGCTATAGAAATCAACCATTTGGACCTTGTCAATGACAGTCATAACTTAGCTCCTCCTTCTTTTTCCTCTTACTCCTCCTCCTCTTCTTCTTCTTCTGGTAAATGTATCATGCTAATATTGATACATTGGGAAGATTACTGATGAAAGGAAGGTGGGAGCATTTAAAGTGGTGCTGTGGGGCCGGGGATTTAGCTCAGTGGTTCGGCCGCCTGCCTTGCAAGGTCAAGGACCTGAGTTCGATCCCTGGTACCAAATTAATTAATTAATTAATTCTTTTAAAAAGCAGTATTGAAATTCCTTGGTAATTTATGAGAAACTCTGTAGTATTTCTGTATGTAACAAATCACTTTGGAATTATATACCTCTCACTATCTAACTGGATATTATTTATTTTTCCCCTACCAGTCGATTTTGGCCCTTGCCATTCAGAAAAGCTTGAGATTTCAGTAATGTGACAAACGCTTCTAACCAATGTTAACATTACACGTTTTGCACATAATTACCTCGTGAAGTCTGTCATCTCCATCATAATCATACACATCTTCTTGGCGAGAACAATGATATCGTTGCTTGTATCATCCCATATCTCAATCTCGGCATCCAACTTACTCTTTACTTTCTTGAAATCAGCAACTTGCTCAGCAATCTTTTCCTTTTCTGCCTCTGGCAGTTGAGTCATCTTAGCCTAAAACAGTTGATAATTATATTTAAAATTCTCTTATGTAGGAAATATTTTAGCAATAAGTGATCATTATAGTGTCACCATAAAACATATTAATTTAAAATCAGAGATATTTCATAGCTTAATTCATTTAATCAAAATGTTCCAGCTTTATTTTTTTAATAAAAATCCACTCATTATTAAAATATGAGTATTAATATTAATGCTGATAGTGCATTTCAATTATAACAATTTAAGTTAAAATGAGGCCATGTTTGTCTATATATCCATGTATGATTAGGGAGATCCTTACAATATTACCGTGACTATATTAAAAACAATAATGATGTGCCTTTGTAAATCATATATATATATATATAAACATATAAAATATATAAAGATCACAATGATGTAAATGTATATATAGCATATAAATATACTCAGGCCTGTATATGTATTTAAATTGTTACAGGGAAGAACAAGAACTTCATGGACAAGGTTTATATAAGGACAGTTCCCTAAATATCATACTGAATATTGAGTTGTTATTCTTTCTTGTAAAGTAAATTTAATGTCCTTAGGCATGATATGGATTCTTTGGTCACAATGATGTAAATGTATATATAGCATATAAATATACTCAGGCCTGTATATGTATTTAAATTGTTACAGGGAAGAACAAGAACTTCATGGACAAGGTTTATTCAAGGACAGTTCCCTAAATATCATACTGAATATTGAGTTGTTATTCTTTCTTGTAAAGTAAATTTAATGTCCTTAGGCATGATATGGATTCTTTGGATTTTTTTGTTTGTTTGTTTGTTTTGTTTTTTGAGACAGGGTCTCACTATGTAGTTGAGACTGACCTGAACTCACTATGTAGCCCAGGCTGGTCTCGAACTCACAACAATCCTCCTGCCTTACCCTCCCGAGTGTTGAGATTACAGGAGTATGCCAACACGCCCGGCTTTTGGATATATTATATTATTAAACATACACAAACTACATCTTTATTTCACAATGCATAATTCAGGATGTTTAGAAAATATCCTATATTGTTAAACACCATATTCATAACCTTAGCAGCTGGAACTTCTCACATTTGTCAAATAAAAAACAATCGACATAAAAATTATTTGATAATATCAAGATCATAATATTTCATGAGATTGTTCAAGTAATAGTGTCATCAAAAAGAAATTTCAGCTCAAAGGTATAGCCCTTGACTAACATATGCAAATCCCTTGGTTTTATCCCCAGTGTAGAGGGGAAAAGGTAATTTTAGACATAAATTTTAATTATATTCTAGTAGGAGGATGAGTAAATAAGTTTGATAAGAAAATTGTTGAAATGAATAGATCATGTAAATGGGATTCATTTATTAGATTATTCACATAGAGTATGTGATGCATATAATATCTGTCTATGTATTTCTAGATATTAGTGTATAGGACACCTTTACATGAAGATACAAGAAGAAATCTCCTAAAAAACTGTAATATTCTGGATAAAAGGTCCAGAATGGTGAAAATATACTTTACCAAATCAATAGTGTACAATAGCAAAGTACCTAAATATATAAAGGATAACCATTATAAGAATGGTCAAAAGAATCCAAACAAAATATAAAGGTAAAGAAATCAGTTCCCGGGGCCGGGAATTTAGCTCAGCGGTTCGGTGGCCTGCCTCGCAAGCGCAAGGACCCGAGTTCGATTGCCGGTACCAAAAAAAAAAAAAAAAAAAAAAAAAA